AATTAATCTGTATTACATGGGACATTCCCAAGTGCATGGAAGACTGCAATTGTAACCCCCATTTTCAAGTCAGGTGACCCTCTGAACATCAATAACTACCGCCCAATTAGCATCTTACCTGTAGTATCCAAGGTGGCTGAGAAGTGGGTGTCAGAACAGCTTGTCTCCTTCTTAAACAACAGCCCATTTCAATTTCATCCCATGCAGTTTGGCTTCAGGGCAAATTATTCAACCGAAACAGCCAACTGCTTTTTTATAGAAAAGGTCAAAGCAATGGTTGACAAAGGAGGTGTTGTTGGTGCAGTATTTCTGGATCTACGCAAAGCCTTTGATACAGTCAACCATAAGGTCCTTCTGTCCAAACTGTCGGCTTTTAACTGCTCTCCATTAACACTCAGTTGGATTGAATCATACCTTACTGGTAGGCGTCAGCATGTTATCGTCAATAATCTACTCTCTCCAGCTCTAGACTTAAGCACCGGAGTACCACAAGGTTCAATACTTGGTCCACTTCTTTTTTCCCTATATATGAATGACCTGCCATCTGTCTGTCCTGATGTGGAAACACAGCTATATGCCGATGACACTGTGATATATGTGCATGCCAACACAAAGCAAAAGGCTGCTGATAAACTGACCTCAGCTTTAGTGCTGATCACTAGCTGGCTACACCGCTCCTGTCTTCAGCTTAATGTCAACAAAACAGTTGGAATGTTTTTCACAAAAAGAAAATGCAACATTGCGTCAAATATAAGCCTCTCAGGTGAAAATATTAACATTGTGCCTCAGGTTAAGTACCTTGGAATCATTATTGACTCTAATTTAACATTCAAAATACAAGTCAAAAAAGTGACCCAAAGAGTCAAGTTTAGCCTAGCAAATTTTAAATACATAAGAAACACAATGACATTGAATTCTGCCAAATTATACATGAATGCCATGATCATGTCACATCTTACATACTGTCTCACAAGCTGGGGGCAAACTAACAGCTCCACACTGAAGCCACTAGCAACCCTGTACAAACCCTCAAAGTACTGGACCAGAAACCTAACCGCTCCCATCACTGTACCATCCTCAACAAGCATAACATCCTGAGTTGGGAAGATTTAATAAAGTATAGGAACATCCTTCTGGTTTACAAAATCCTGCACAATACAGCCCCTCCACCTCTTAGCTCATTGGTTACTCAACGTAACAACACCAGACTGACCACGAGAAGCTCCACACGTGGCGACCTATCAGTCCCATTCAGGAAGAGTACTTTTGGTCAGTCATCATTCTCGGTCATAGCAATACAAAACTGGAACTCTCTACCCACTCAAATCAAAGACATACATACACATACCACCTTCACAGCTCACTTAAAAACATGGTTCACTGAGAACTACACCTGCACACACTAGTCTGTGTTAAGTATGGCGTGAGTGTTACATGTTGTGTTACATGTTGTGATCATGGATGTTGCCCCTGGTTTCTGTTATGTGATTGTGATGTGCTATATGTGACATGTACTGTATATAGTAACGTGTGTTGTTTATTGTTCTCTTTTATCCTCACACCGGTATCTACTTGTCTTTCCTCCTTTTTATTTTATATATTTTCTTATAACTAATGCTGTTGATATATTGTAATTTTAAGGGTGTCTATTACCATCTGGCCGGGGACAACAGCTGGAAATTAGCCATGTCGGCTAAAGCTGCACCATTTACTGTTTTTGTGACAGTTCATCGATGGGGACTGTCCACGACACTATAAATAAATAAATAAACTAAACTAAATCTTTTATGCAAGCTTGATTATTTGTCTGATCTTGGATTAGGAAAGTGTGACAAGTAAATGAATGAAGGGATAAGGGCAGAAAGAATACTTCATTACCCACCCCAGTGTTTGTTGGTTGAGCACCTTTGTGGGGCCAAATCTTAATCTCCATTCTCCACCCTAAGGTCTAAGCCCTGAACCCTTTAGGGACTTAACTGACGTCAGAGGTAAGTGCTTGAGTGCTAGATGCTGCAAAGGCTCATGAAAACCATAAGCATAAAACACTTTAAGTCAATATATTAAGTTCCCTTGTCAATGACAAACATGTCGTCTATGATTTTGCCTTGTGGGTTTGGGATTTATTTTATGTACGTTCTTTCTTTCCTCACTGCCAAAGCACTTTGACCATCTTCCAGGCTTTTCCAGGTAATCGTCAAATAATTATTTTTTGTCAAATGTAGTATCATTCAGCAGAAGTCCAAAGAAATGGTTTCCAAATTAATGATGCATAATGTACTGCCAATGCGTGAATCGTAATGATTTGTTCCCTTGTCATTGTAGGGATTCTACCTCCATAACATTTTGAAATGTGGGGATAACGTTCATCTCTTTTATTTAAGCTTCCAGGCTCCTCTTGGTAACCCTACCATTACTGTCACAAACGTAATTTCCTCATGCAAGGCGTGCAGAAATGCAGACTTACACTAAGTGTGAATAAAGGGCTTAACGTATCTGTGATTGAGCCCTATAGGCTTGTTGATGTGGCAGTGGCAAAGCCCTTAGACCTCACACTCTTAGCTGGAACGTGCCTCAAAGTCCAAGATTCCTAGTGTGGACGTTTAGATTGGGCCTTATTTAGCGATAGTTCAAAAAACTCATGCAGAGACCAAAGCCTTATGAGGAACACAACAAGCGTAAGTAAGAGTATTTGAACTCTACACACTGTAGTCCTTTCCAACCACCCTTCACCTTCAGTGACCTTTACAAATAGGATCAGTTAAAGCAAACAGATGGCGGCGCACTAAGATCCAGTCTTTCACAAATACTTCAACAATGTTTTCAACCCTTGAGTACCAACAGCCACAGTGCTATGGAAAGGTGTCATGCTGCTTGAAATTACCGTAAAAGCTCATTTTATCATTAATTATGACTTACAAGCCTTAAGTTAATTTGTTCAGTTGAGTGTTTTCCGGTTTGCTGTTAAACTCAACTCTCCCTTTGTGTGTGTACCAGTTGGCTTGATGAAATCAGTGTTATGTGACATTTCCACAGCACTAATTCAATAAGCAAAACAAAGTCAAATTGTTCTGTACTACTCGCCACTTTGCTGCTCTCCCTTTTTTCTTCTGTAACATAATGAACTTCCATGTTCCACTTTGCCCCTTTTAGATTGCTGTTAATCTCAGTTTTTTTCTCGTTAGCAGTATTTTCCGGACTTTGACTTTTAAAATCGGTTGATGGCTGACAAATTAAAAAAATCACATCTTAATGCTTAGTGTGATACATCACAGCTTTTAATGCAAATCATCTGCGGGAAATATTTAGTTTTATTATGGTATTCAACAAAGTATGAAATCAGTGAACCCAAGCGGCATGCTCCAGTGCTGAATTATAAAGCCTTTGCAGCATTGCTAAACACAGGGTTCAACGAATCGAAAAGTCAATGTTTTGTTTGGTTTGTTAGATGCCTGTTATAAGGTCTGTAGTTAACAGAAATGTACCAATTTGCTCTGCAACATAAAACACCCCACTTGTGCTTTTACATGACTTAAAGAATGCTGTTGCTAAAGTGGCTAAATGATAATACTAAATGACATTACACCAAACATTAGCCGCCTTTACCTTAGCGGTGTTGACGTGGATATTATCCTGCCAAACAAAGTGTGTGTAAGTATCATAAACATGCGTTTGCCACAAATCTTATTTTCTGCATTAATCTAATGAAAAGAATCTGACTCGGGAGTTGTTAACTCTTCCCTCCTTCACCTTTTCCTAGCCAATGTAGAGAGTCTGAGAAAACAAATATCATATTAAGTGAGAATTTTAAGAGTGTGACTATGAGCTATCAAGCAAGCTAATGCAAGCTAGCAGACAAGCCTGCTTGATAATACTTTTGCCAACTAGCCAGTCAATATATGTTTTGTTCAAGTACACAAAACTAATTTCTACTACCAAATCTTAGCCACATGTAGAAAAATGAGAAGAGTAACCTCAAATACCATTGTCATTACACACTGCTGTGGCAGACTTCACAAAGTGCTTTGCAGTTCAGGATAACCTTTTTTTTTTTTTCTTTTAAAATCATCCACTGGATAATGTATACTTTATTATAAACTACAAGAATTGTAAAAGTCATCACTCATAAATACTTTGGAGATTATAAATGCGCCTCTAATTCAAATTTGACAGAATGCAGTGTCGACTGCAAAACAAGGATAACGCCGTCAGTGAAATGGGCAAACATCCAAACAAGTAGATATCATATAACATATAAAAAGGTGGGATGAAGTAACCTTTAAACCTTTTTTAACATTTCATTGAGATTACTGAAGTTATTCACCTAGTTATTCTACTTGGTGATACAGTCACAGTTTGCACATTCCAACGACATGCTTTAGTCCACTTACAACAGGTGCTAGTGTGTTCTGTTTCTGTTCATATCACTCAGTATTAAGATCAACTAGCAGGGATTTCAAAAATCATTGATTTAGATACATTATCACAACGAACAAACATCAGGATTAAATTACTTCTTGTTGTCAATTTACTTTATTGTAGGTGCCCATTTAGGCTACACGTTTAAAATATCTGAACTGCATTATTAGTCCATACAGTCATGCTACAATTTTACTCACATAAGAAGGCATTCAGTATGCCTCTATTACAAGTTGATTATTATATTATAATGAAATTAATGGAAATCAGTGGCTGCCTGGAGGTTTGGCTTGTAGTATACAGAAGAGGATTAGGGCCATGAAATATTTGTTCATTTCAGAGTAAAAATGTTTTTTGGTCGAAAGGTTTTAAGATTTAGCTGAACATTTATTTAGAATTCGGAAAAAAAAAGTGATAATAATGACTTTTCTCAGATGTTTGACTTTTAATCACAGAACTCAAAATCAAAAAAACACTTTTGGTCAGAACTCAATACATTTGGCCCTAATCCCATTTCGTATAAATGAATACTGGTACAGTCAGTGAATAATAATATAAATAAAAAAGTATTGCACTGCACTTACCAGACAACCCCGAACGCTCCATAGCCTATGGGCCTGTCAGACTCTATGTCCAGCTGCGGCTGAAGGTGGAGCGTGTGCTGCTGCTGCTGCTGCTGATGGTGGTGCTGCTGCTGCTGGTGGTGCTGCTGCTGCTGCTGCTGCTGCTGCTGCTGCTGCTGCTGGTGGTGGTGAGCTTTCCCAGCGGCGGCCGCCTGGACCTGGGCGGGAGCTGCAGCCGGTCCGGGAGCCTGTCCCAGAGCAGGAGACGGGAAGTAGGGCTGCTGCTGGCCGGGGTTGAGCATCACCGCAGCGGCAGCAGCAGCCGTGGAGCCGTGCTGCTGCACCGTGTGCACGGCGGCGGCGGAGCCCGGGTGCTGCAAGTGATGCTGGCCCGCGTGGTGGTTGTGATGCATGTGGGGAGGTGGAAGGTGCTGGAGTTGGTGGTGGTGATGCGGGTGATGGGCAGCTACTGTAGAGGAGCCACCGTTGTAAGCAGCCATCATTTTTGGAACATTTGTAGCCGTTGTGCCGCAAAGAGCCATTCAATGACCCGCCAGAAGCCGCCTCTAAAAGTGATGCAAGCTATCTGTCGACTGATGGAACTATTAAAAACAGTGGAAATGTGGAAACAACAACACCTGCTACTTTAAAAGTGTGGGTAGAGAAACCATTGCGGTGTGCCTTCTCATCATAATGCCAACAAGGATCTGACCCACTTCCTCTAAATGAGTTTTCTTGCTTTCACACCATTAGGCTACTGTAGCCCGGGGCTAATATCGGAAGCATGTCATGAGAGTACAGTAATGGCCACCCAAGTCTGAAAATATGTACAGTTGCACTGCCAACAATGATGAATAAAAAGTTCGGACTAAAAAGTAACCCGCGCCCCCCTCAATAAATAAAAAGTCGGTGGCCCTAGATGTCCCTCATGATAGAGGTGGCGCCCCCTCCCTCCGGATGAGATTCCCCGTGTTGATAGAACAGTGTGATCTAAAGCCTGTCACATAGGAAGCAGATCACTCATCTTTTAAAAGTGTCTAAGTTTGCCTCGGCTCCGGTCTTCTTCTCACCACAGGGGCTCCACACGGCTCGCATCTATAACGCCAAACTGAGTCCTCCTCCCGGTGTGTGCGCAGGCCAGACACGGGTAATCTCCGAGCCGAAATTAACGCTGCTGATCCGGTGCACGGGAGCTTGTATCCAAACCCAGGCCACAACAGGAGAGCGCAGGCAGGGCCAGGCCTCGGTCCTCCACTCCACTTTACTCTACTCACATATTAAATACACTCCAGCGAGGCGCGCATCTGGAAGGAAACCCCCGTCATTCTGACAGAGTTACCAAGCTGAGACCATGACTCAAAAGACGAGATGAGAAATCCTCGCAGACGGTTGGCAGGCAACTTATTTTCCCCATCGACAGCCTTGTTCCTGGTCACACTGTCGTCTCGCAGCTCATAGTCACATATCCAGGGGATATCGTTGCAGGGGGGAAAGTTGAATCCGTTGAATGTAGGATAAAGTATCCAGCTGCCAAACTAGAGATAAACAGTCTTCAACCTGACAGCTCGGAGCTAGCAAAGCGATGTCGCCAAATCACACAAACTGTACTTCCGTTTGAGTCGGTGTCGCTGAGTGTGTTCGCCGGAGAAGAGGAAGCACCCCCCGCCGCCTGAAGCTCTACACTCCGGGCCCCCGCCACTCCGTTGACACTGACATTATCAAACTATTGGTCACCAGGCTAACTATGATGTGCAGTTGATCCAACATGGTGAACAAACCCTTAGCGACTCGGCGGTGAGATTACGCAGGACTGCCAGCCAATCGCCTTCCGCAGCGCAATGACATCATGGTAATCCATGTGATTGACACCGTGCGCAGCCAATGATGTCTGCGGGCTGTTGTGAATGCTGCTCCGAGGAACCAATGATATCCTCACAGAGACAGTGAATAACTAACTGACTGTTCAATTCAATTCAATTCAAGAAAAGATCTGGCGTCAAGTCCCAAAACAGACCGATAAACCAAACCAATTTCCTTGTTAGATTGATTACAATATAATTTGGGGGAATTGTAGCCTTAAAACAGTGTGTTAATGGCTGAACTGGGTTTTATTCCTTCATGTGTCAGTCGATGCAGGTGAAACTGCTCAAGAGTGACTTGAGGCGCTATACAAATTTCATCTATTATTATTATTATTATTACTGCACTCAAAAGAGTTTCGATCCGCCAACTGAATTCAGTTTCAAACATTTGTCAATTGCACTTTGTATGAGTCAAATTGTCAATTGTCATTATGCCCAACATTTACATTGAGGCATTTTTTGCCATATAGTTATTGTATTGCAGGTTCCCAAGGCTAATACAAAATGGTGCATAAGAACGAAAGAAAAAAACTGTAAAACTGAGTAAATAAAATGGAATATATTATATGAAATATAGTACATTGACAGACTGGTATCAGTAAAAAAGTTTGCTTTGTTTGGCTTACGACGAGATGTCAATTTCTCCAGGCTCATTTCGTGGCATCTGCAGGCAGTGGCAAGCACTTCCGGCATCTGCCACAGATGCCACTACTCCGTAGCGGGAGTTGCCACAAGATGCCAGAGAGAAGGTTTACGGTAGCTGCCACTCGCCTTCCGTGGTAAATGCTGCTGTTTAAACCAGTTTAAACCCGTATTTATCGTGTAAAATGTCGCTGTTTAGGCATGACTTTATCGAACTGATCTGTACACAGGACTGATGTGCGATCTCTATTTTTAAAAAAGATTATAAATTATAATTTATATTCAATTTTACTTGGAGAACGTGGTTTGCTAAAATAAACAAACGTGCTATAGGCTATTTATGATAGTAGGCTACTAAAAATATATTGTAATAACAAATAAATATTGGCGAGTGAGGGTTGCAACCATGGTTGCAACCTTGCAACGCAAGCCCTTGGCAATTGTTGCTTCTGGAGGGGATTCCACTGCTTGCTGATAAACCAGGTGTATTATTGTAAAGACAAATAATTAACAAATACATAGCTGTATTGACACAGCAACGTGTACACTGGTGTTATTAGACTTGGCTACAGACTTAGGGCAGCTGTAACTGATTGCCGTTGCTACTGCTAGTGAGATGCTAAGGTTTATAGGCTACTTTATAAATGAGGCAAAGGACGGTTATATTTTATTGTACACATGTATAAATGTGTTATTTTAAATGTAGGCATACTTAATTTGTATTATTTTCGTTGTTAATAAACAGATTAATGTCATTGTATCTGTACGGTGGCCCTGAAGTGCAAGACACAACAGCATTTCACAAAACGCTACAGCATTTCAGAAACACTACAGCATTTCACAAAACGCTACAGCGTTTCAGAAAACACTACAGCATTTCACAAAACGCTACAGCGTTTCACAAAACACTACAGCATTTCGCAAAACGCTACAGCGTTTCAGAAAACACTACAGCATTTCACAAAACGCCGCAGCATTTCACAAAACGCCACAGCATTTCAGAAAACACTACAGCATTTCACAAAACGCCACAGCATTTCACAAAACGCCACAGCATTTCACACAACACAACAGCATTTCACAAAATGCCACAGCATTTCAGAAAACACAACAGCATTTCACAAAACGCCACAGCATTTCAGAAAACACTACAGCATTTCACAAAACGCTACAGCATTTCAGAAAACACAACAGCATTTCACAAAACGCCACAACATTTCACAAAACCCCACAGCATTTCAGAAAACACCACAGCATTTCACATTGGACGGAAAGGGTATTCCTTAGGGAGAACACTTCTTGTTTGTGATTGCCACGTTAGCTGTTAGCACACACTCAGAGCTCACAGTTCCTCATATCTGTTCAGAAACTGGACAAAAGTTAAACATATACAAAACACAGACTGTCTATGTCATTTTGAATACAGTCGCTGCTTTATTTATGTCTGTATGACGTTGTTGTGAGTGTGGACGGAGCAGCTACAGGTTAGTTTAGCCTGATCGATCCGATTCCGATAGGATTTACATGGAGATACGGCCCGCCCCCTCTCCAGCGTCTTGTTTGAATGACAGGAGTAAACACAGAATTAATGCTTTATTAATTCATGGTTTTTAAGGGGCTTATCTCCATGTAAATACTATGGTAGACCACCCAATATTCGCATCGCTATAATCGCTCGAGTTTCACCGCGGCTGTCAGCTGTGTTTGCTCCTGTCATTCAAACAAGAGGCGCTGAGAGGGGGCGGGGCGTATCTCCATGTAAATCCTATGGGAGATACCAACTACAACAAAATGAACATATTTGACCGTGATTTAATTGTAATACACGTTTCAAAGTGATGCCGAAGCAACTACATACTGATAACGGTTAGTAAAAACCATGAATTAACGCTTTGACAAGTCTGCAGATAAGACGGCAGGCGAAAAGCTTTTAAAATACGTGTTTTCTGATGGAAATGGAATCGGACCCATCAGGCTAAACGAACCTGTTGCTGCTCCGTCCACACTCACAACAACGTCATACAGACATAAATAAAGCAGCGACTGTATTCGCCATGACATAGACAGTCTGTGGTTTGTACATGTTTAACTTTTGTCCAGTTTATGAACAGATATGAGGAGCTCTGAGTGTGTGCTAACGGCTGATGTGTTGGGGCATATTTCGCTCAGAGCCCTAGAGAGATAAGAGTTACGACACTCCCATAGACCTCCGTTGTAAAAAAAATGACGGCGCCTACTTCCGGGGTATGGACATCGAAATAGTTCAAAAATATTGTCATTTGGGCGTTGAACCTCATTCACTTACATTACGGCGCGTCGATTAGTTCCAGAGGTAAGTTGCTGAAATATCGAACTCTTTTGAATTGTCAACTGTCTATATTGTATCAGAGGCCCTTTATGATGCGTATACTGGTCTTCATTTGTATATGCACTGCGTAATTATCTATATTTTATCTTGGTTGTTACAACCAATTTAGCTAGCATTGCCTGCTAGTTAGCTAGCGCGACTTCGTCAGCTTTGAAGGTACGATTTCAGTAATGAATCGCTAGCAGCTTATATATCAATGATGCTGGGTAACTAACAAGCAGGATTTAGATTGATTATGTGTTTTTATTGTTATTTTGGTTTTTATCCGCTGAACCTGACCGTGTCAGCCATCCTTAGTCGGCTTTTTCTGTATGATATGACTTAACTGCTAGCACTAGTAGAAATGAGGTGGCGTTTGTGATAAATATTTCATTTAATATTTCATTGAATTTTGGGATATACTAACATTTCATTATGTGACATGTTGACTGTACTTTGTTTTTGTTGGTACTTTTCCGTGTTAACTCATCTGTACTGTACAACTAGCCTAGCGCTACTTTTTAATGCTTGATGGCATGCTAGGATTCCTTTGTATTGTAATATACACACTAGTTTAATGATTGTTCTTCAAAGGTATTATTCAGTCTTAAACAAATAATAGCCTACTGAATAGGCTACTCTACAGCAGTGAATGAAGGATGAGCCTTTTAGCAACTATACTACGGACGTGACTGCCCTGGCAGTGACAGCAACATAGCCTGCTTGTGATACCACACTTTCCCCTCAACATATCGTTAAATAACGAAACTTATAAATAGTGCCAATCCATACAAAGTGTAACCACATCATGTAAATATGAAAGCAATCTTTAAAAAATAACAGCGTTGGTTTAATCTATGACTATTTTGACCATGTTTGTGCTGTTTTTGCCATAGAGAAGCATTGCAACGGAAGTGCGTTTTGAACTATCCCGGCATACATAAACCACGTGACCGGCTGGCGGCGACATCAAAGAGTGTCGTAACTCTTATCTCTCTAGGGCTCTGATTTCGCTGTCGGGTGTTGACCAATCACGAAGCGTCATTTCATGACTGGCAGCAAAAACAACCAATCACAGCAGTGCTTCTCTGGCTGGCTCTGTCCAATCACAAACAAGAAGTGTTCTCCCTAAAGGAGAACCAATGTGAAATGCTGTGGTGTTTTCTGAAATGCTGTGGTGTTTTCTGAAATGCTGTAGGCCCAATCCCAAACCACTCCCTCGACCCTACCCCTCCGTGACGGAGTGAACTCCGTCTGTAGCCACACTCGCAGCTCAACGAGGCTCCCTCCTGTCAGATGGAGGGAGTAAATACAGCAGCAAGCTTTGGGACGGCCTCCCCTCTCTCCGGCAGAAACAGGAAATGCGGTAACTGTATGTAACAACGGTTTCAAATCAGCATCTCTTAGACAAAAAATGTAAATTAATAACTCAAATAAAACTCCAAACATCTTTCATTGTGTTACTTTTTTGTAAAGCTCTTTTAGTTTTAAACCTGATGTTTATAAGCTTCTTAGTTTTTGCAACAGTCTGTAAATATACACAACTTTATAATAAAATGCACACATTTACCTTTTTCTAGAATAAACACAGGTACGATCCTAAGTTAAAACATATGAGGTTATCATGAGGTTGTTAACATCGCAGTTTATCAGTGGATGTTTGCTGGAACTACTTGTAAACAGCTTGTTTCCTGACGGACACACACAGCGTTGAGACCGGTCAGGTAGAGACCGGTCTCAAGTCAGCACCGATGCAGACTCGTTGTTTGAGGGCTTGAGAGCCCACTCCCCCTCCACACCGCTCCACACTCGTTGGTTTGGAACAGCCCTCAATATGGCGGACCCTCCGCGTGAACGCGCAAACGGAGGGGTAAGGTGTAGGGGTAGGGCAGGGGTCGGCAACCCGCGGCCCACGGGCCGCATGCGGCCCTTTAAGCCCTCTGCTCTGGCTCCCTTGAGTTTAGACAAAAATAAGAAGGAAATAAAATAAAAGTATTTGTAGGACTATTTATATTTTGTTGCATGGTTGAAAATGTTTCGTATCTTGTATTTTGAGGTGA